AAAAAAAAAAAATCTATTGCTAAGAGTTAGAGAAGAAAGTAACACAGATAATATAATGGTGGTATGTGACTTTCTTGAAGAAGAGAAAGTCTCTACCATTACCAAACAGATCAATCAATTTGTATAATTAATGTTATAGTATTCATTACTGTTTTTTTATATTTCTCCCTTTTCAATGTAGTCCATCACACGAAGTAGGAAAAAAACACTAGCAAACTTGACTCCTAAAATTGACTTTACTTTCATCTTCATTTTGGTCCTGTTCCATAGATTCCGGCAGTGGCTATTTCAATCTGTACTGCCAACCAAATGACCTTTTTAAAAAACTAGGAGAAACAGAATGACCAGAACTTTTGTCTTTCCGTGTCAGGTTTTTAGGAAACTCACTTCAGACGTAAAAGGAGTGCTTGATTTCCCAAACTAGTACCCACAACCCCAAGCGAAGGTTTAGTGCCTTTTCTTTGTTTAGAAAACCAAGGTTTAGGTTTTTTAACCTCAAGTTCATTTTAATACTTTAAAACTTCAGGGGTTTCACATCAATACTGGTCACATATCTTCCAATGGTCTTCCAATATACCACAGGAAATTGTGAGGCTTGTTTTTTTTTCCCTAATAAGTTTGTTACTATTAGACTTATTGCAGTGGATTAGCAACAATTTAACCTTATTCTATCTTAAGAGCCTCTAGCTTGTTTTTAACTGTCAAGCCTCTTTGTTCCATACTTTTATTTAACAGAAAAAACAAAAAAGTTTTCAATGACTTAACTCTTCCAAAAAGCAAGAAAGAAAACAAAATGGAGTGTTTGCCACACCCTTTTATACCTTGAGAGGCAAGCTAATCACCCCCAGCTGACTCTCATCCCAACAAATTTAGCTCATAGGTGTTCCCTTTTTTCCTACATGAGCATGTAGTTTCCTCTGCCCTGTTCCAAACTTTGGCAAACAGAATTATAGTGGGTAAAGACTTCTCAAAATTCTTGGTCTAAAATAAAGGTCCTTCTTTGACCCTGTTCCACGTTCTTTCACAACATATACAGAACAACAATGCTTAATTTAGCAGCAGTTATACAGTAAATGTCATTTGGGTCACAGCTTTAAATCCAACCAAAATCAATTAAAGCTAAAAAGTACTGGTCTCTTAGTATTGATCAGTAGTTCGTATTGTGGAAATCCCCATACAGTTTAGAAAACTATGATAACATTTTGTAATATCTACTTGCCTGGAAGGTAAGAATGGTCCTTTCTGTTGGAGTTAATGCAACACAACCAGGAGCTGCTTTGCATACAGTGTGTGTCTCTTCCTTGTTGTACTGTACATTTCTAGACATTTGTGTCTTTAAAGCTTGGCATTAAATCAAATCTCAGAAACAGCTGAATACAATATGGAAATATCTGCTTTTTGGCACATGCCCTGATACAAAAACATTTCATTTCAATTCCTATTCTGCTATTCAGTTTTGTTTTTATACATGAGCCATACATACTGAAGAGGATGCCAGTTTGGATCAAACCTGTTTTTGTCTTCTAAATCAACTGTGGTGGTTACAAAATAAAATCACTTATTATTTCTTATAGTAACACAGAGAACACTTTATAAATATTGGGGAGAGGGGGTTCTTAACCATTAACCTAATAGAATAAACCACTTTTTTGTAGATTCCTGTGTCTTTTTTTGTGGATTTTAAACTATACAGAAGCTGATATTATTTATCAATAATATTGTTTAATCTCATCCATAAATACAAATGTGCAGTAGAATGATAAAATAGATAGAGATAGATAGGTACTTTATTGATCCTGTGAGGGAAATTGCAGTGCAACAGTAGCTTAACACAGTCAACACAGCACAGTGTAACGAAATTATGCAATAATACAACAAATAGAATACATACAATACAATCAATACAGTCAGTGAGAAGTGCACTAAGAAGAGTTGCTCACAGTCCAGAATACACAAAGATCAAACCAGAACAGTACACAAAAAGTTGTATTGTACATTATAAGTATAAATATAAATATAAATATAAATATATTTAAGTCCCTGGCATGTATTGCACAAAAAACAGTTGTAAATGGGAAAAGCCAGATGTAAGAGAGTTTACTGTTTAATCCAAAAACAGGTCAATGTCAATGTTGCCCCTGCCCAGACACAAAGTGGATGTGTTGTACCGTCTTATGGTAGAAGGCAAGAATGACCTCCTGTAGCGCTCCCTGTCGCACCGTGGTTGGATCAGCCTATTGCTGAACGTGCTCTTCATTTTCACAAGCATGTCATAGAGGGGATGGGAGACGTTGTCCATGATGGCCTCTAGTTTGGACACCATTCTCCTCCAGGAGTCCAGGTCAGACCCAATGACAGAGCTTGCTCCCTGATGAGCTTGTTCAGCCTGTTAGCATCCCCTGCTTTAATCCCAGAGCCCCAGCACAGCACCACGTAGAAAATGGTGCTCGCCACCACCAACTGATAGAACATATGTAGCATCTTACTACACACATTGAAGGACCTGAGCCTCCTCAAGAAGTAAAGTCAGCTCTGACCCGTCTTGTAGATGGCCTCGGTGTTCTTAGACCATTCCAGTCTATCGTCGATGTGCACTCCCGGGTACTTGTTTGAGTCCACTATCTTCACACCACTCCCATGAATGTAGACAGGAGTAGGTTGGACCCTTTTCCTCCTGAAATCTATCACCAGCTCCTTCGTCTTTGCCACATTCAATTGCAGGTGGTTCTCCCCACACCAACCTGCAAAGCTGCTGACCAGTCCTCTGTACTCTTCCTTCTGCCCATCTCACAATCTCATAATTGCGGACTCATCCGAGAACTTCTGCAGGCAGCACGACTCTGGGTTGTATTTAAAGTCCAAAGTATAGAGGTTAAAGAGGAACGGAGAAAGAACTGTCCCCTGAGGAGGCCCTGTTTTACTCACTACCTGTTCAGACACACAGTTCTGAAGTCTCACAAGCTGTGGTCCGCCTGTCAGATAGTCAGTGATCCATGAGATCATGGCGGCACCCACTTGCATCTCCTCCAGCTTCCTCCCTAGCACTAAGGGCTGGATAGTATTGAAGGCCCTGGAGAAGTTGAAAAACGTAATCCTCACAGTGTTGCCAGCCTTGTCCAGGTGGGAGTAGGCCCTTTGCAGCATGTAGATGATTGCATCTTTCACACCAACACTGGGCTGGTAGGTGAACTGTAGGGTGTCCAGTGATGAACTGACCAGGGGTCTCAGATGGGACAAGACCAGCCTCTCCAGTGTCTTCATGATGTGAGAAGTCAGGGCTACTGGCCTGTATTCATTGAGGACAGATGGGCACCCTTTCTTTGGTACCAGGACCAGGCATGGTGTCTTCCAGAGCACGGGGACTCAGCGCAGGCTCAGGTTGAACAGTCGCTGGAGCACTCTGCTCAGCTGATCAGCACAAGCCCTCAAAACTCTGGGACAGACATTATCTGGGCCTGTGGCCTTACCCTGGTGAAGCCTCCTCAATTCTATCTTCACATGGTCTGTTGTGATGGTCAGCCAGGCCTGGGGGATGGTGCTCATAGCGCTGTCAGTGCTGCAGGTGTTAATGGGGGAGGTGTTGGAGAGTGGCAGCTGCGGTGGACTGGGGGTGAGTAGCTGTTGGGGTTGTAGCTGTAGACGGCTGTGATTGTGGGGGAAGGGAGGACGTGTAGGGCAGTCTGTGGCTGTGGGGGGATGGGTGTTGACCCACAGAGGGCCCTGAATCCAACCTGTTAAAAAACTGGTTCAGCTCGTTGGCCATCACCAGGTTCCCCTCTGTTACACCCCCAGCCTGTTTGAAGCCAGTGATCTCTCTCATGCAGCTCCATACATCCCTCACCCTATTCGTTTGCAGCTTGACCTCTACCTTCCTCCTGTAGGCGTTCTTGCTCTCTCTTAACTTCTGCTTTAGTTCCCTCTGTACACGCTTAACCTCTTCCCTGTCCCCCCTCCTAAAGGCTCTCTTTTTGTCATACAGAAGAGCCTTCATGTCGCTGGTGATCCAGGGTTTGTTGTTGGGAAAGCAGTGTATGTCTTTGGTGGGAATGGTGTTGTCTACGCAGAAGTTAATGTAGTCAGTGACACAGTCCACCATGTTGTCTATGTCGTCCCGATGTGGCTTGCACAGCACATCCCAATCAGTAGCCTCCAAAGCACCACGTAGATCCTTCATAGCTCCTGAGACCATCTCCTCACATGATAGCTCAGTTCTGTCCATTTTAATTTAAGACATGATTTGTTATTATGGATTTTCATCTCAATGTAAAGCACAGCAGATTTTTTTATCTGCAGTCTGAAGCAGGTCTCATATGACTTGTTGAAGAAGTAAACTGTAGCCTTTAGGCACTTCTCTTGAGGGTCAAATTAAAAGTATAGACTCTTTTTGACCTTTTGCAAAATAATTAAAAGTTACATATTTTGTTTATGTCTCTGCAATATTTAGAGGCTGCAGTCAAATGTGATAAAAATATTTACATTATACAGAGAATTTTATTTATTTCTTTAACAGATTCCAAATTCCTTCAACTGTGTGTATAAATAATGATAGAGGTATGATGCTATAAGCTGCCTTGTATAGGTATGGAATCTCAGTTATTTTGGTTGTATACAAAAATACATAGTGTAGATTTTTTCAATTTAAGGTAAGATTACTACGACAAAAAATACAATCCTTAGACAGTTATTCTTATCAATGAAAATTTCTTGAAATTTCTGAAAAAAGTGCAAACTTTGTGAAAAGTTTAGAGATAGTGTTTTTTAATTTAGATTTAATGTATAAATTCTGTGCTCAGCATTACTGTAGTTCTCTTTTCAGCGAGTGGCATAAAATGCTTGCATTGCTGTCATCCCTATTTGAGCTGTTGTCCATCAACATGTGTTAATTATAAGTGAGTTCATTCTCTTGCTTATAATTGCAGCATGTTTACTTCAGGCTAGGTTTATTGTATTCTAACCTGCCAGGAGTGACACTGTAATAACATGTTGTTTTCAAATGACAGGTAATAAGGAACATAAACACTTATGCCAGAACAAAGACTCTTGCTCAGGGCTTTCTCGATATGGCTCTCTTCACTGCCAATGCCTCCCAAATGAAACATCTCCTGCAACAAGGCCCTGACACACAATTCTATTATTTCCTTTTCATCTTACTGGTACGTATGGAAGATCAACCTGCCTAAAGTAGCTCACTCAGGGAAACATAACAAAAAAGCTCAGCTGTGCAAGAGCAGTAATACAAATGCAAACACGGAGCTCTTCTAGGAAAAGCTAAGATGTATAAAGATGTTGTTTAAAAATAAAACAGTCTAGGTAAACCCACTAAGGATTACCTTTAATTATTCTAAATTAGTCTGAATCAGGTCCCTGAATTTGTCTATCAGCATTTAAGAAAAAGGCCTAGAAAGAAATACCTATACCTACAAAGGGTTGGTATTATTCCAAAAGAAAGCAGACTAGTATCACTTTAGGTGTCATACAATGATATACAATATTTACAATTTATGATTATGTAACAGGCAACTATGATGTTTTAAATAATGTTTTAGAAAGCAGTTTAAGGTACCCTTATGCTGCCTTTCTGTATTGATAAAAAGATGTTAGTGCTTCCATGAACATCATAACCAAGCTCCTAATTAATCTATGTCTTTGAGTCCCATTTACCTGGCCTCTGTCTGTCAACGAAGTAGAAAAGACAAAAGTGCACAGTGGTTTGAGCTCTCTAAAGCTATCACGTGGTCAAGTAATGAGCCCTGAAATGAAATACAGTACATTTGGCAATAAATGCTGCAATTTATACTCTTTTACAACACTTTTGCAAGCCACTATTGGTATGATAAATGGATGTGCACTGCATCTTGGAAGCAATGTAAAATACCTAATCAGACATGTTTTGCACTGTTGAAGTGTTTAGAATATGACATTTCTATCATACGTTGCGTTTCCCTTTTCAGTGTGTATCAGTCAGTCTCCAGCTTATTGTGGCAGCTCTGTTGATCTACAAAGGCTCGAAAAATATTGAATACGATGATCCTGAACGCAGACTAAGTGATAGGTGAGTTTAAAAAATGTATGTCTATGTGCATAATGGAAGTCTTGCAATTTCTAGGTTTACAGGAAAGTGATTTAAGGTTTTGCAGAGGTGAATTACCATTTTAACTTTTGTTCATTGAGATTCTCCAGTTGTTTTTTATATTTTACTACCACTCATTTCAGAGTTGCCAAACTAATTGTTTTTCTCATCTCAGCATTACAGATACACCTACAGTATGGTTTTTTAATCAGTTCCCATGCACACAACAGTGATAGTGCTAGATGTCAATATTACATGCACACAACATAACTCTGGACCTGATGTTCATTAAAGGAAGGGTTTCCCAGTCTGGGAATTCTTCTGTCTCCTGGCTTTTGTACTTTAAAAAGTTGATAACGATAACATGCTACTTGATTTTTAATTTCCTTCTTTTGAATTTTTCTGCACTCGGGTCTTAGTTTCAGAAAGAGTTAGAAATAATTTTGTTTATTTGTGTCAGTTCCACGAAATGTAGCAAAAAGATCTCTCCCATAGTTTCCCAAACAGCTCTAATTGCTTATCAATCAATGATGTACAGAAGCATTTGGAAATGGCACAGTGTCCAATACACCGATGAAAAGCATACAGATGTATAATCTGGAATACTACTATACATGAAGGGACCAGATCCACATATTCACATATTCAATGGTCAAAGGCATTGACAAAGTCAACCCCATAGTCTTCTTCAGAACAAACAGTGAAATATGTTTTATTCACTCTAGGGGTGAATCTTCAGACAGAATATATTTTATGTAACAAATTGTTATCCCTTCTCTTCTGAAACCATATCTATCCTGTCCTGTTTTACTTTTCCTAATCTTAGTCTCTTTTTTTTGTACTTTGCATTCCCAAAATTGTTACCATATGTTTTGGACTATGCTTGTACTATTTTAAAATATACTTCAAAGCTTACCATTTTATGATCACAGTTCCCTAATAGTCCTCTCACCTCTGCTTGCAAACTGTATCTTCAGTATTTGAAAAGACTGGATCAATACATGCATTCCCTCTTGTAGGTGCTCTGACAAACGGGGTAAGAAAGTGGTCATTAGTCATGTGTACCATTTCAGTTTCTCCTGCTGACATTCCTATTGGTTTTTTTTAGTCCATGTCAGGAAAATTAAAATCTCCAATAAAAAACATGTTTTACTTTTACACATAGGTTTTGGATTTCATTATACAAGTGTGAATTATAATTTCTATCTTTAATTCGGTGATGTGTAGCATACTCCTAAAACTTTGCCTTTTGAATGTTTTTTTATCATTCTGACACATACAGTTTCTGAGGCCCTCAATTCATCTGAGTTAAGTTTGTGTTTCTTAATGGTCTTTTTGATATATTGTGCTACACCTCCCCCTCTTCCATCTTCCCTGTCTCTGCAGAATGTTGTGTATCCATTAATGTTGTATTTTTTCCCATCTCTCTTGGTTAGCCATGTTTCTGTGGTTCCAATTACATCATAATCTGCAAGTAGCTTCTTCTTGATTTTTCCCTGATGTTACTGGCATTTCAGTATAAGCTCTTAATTACCTGGTCTTTTTATGTTTTGTTTTTTCCTTTTAGTTGTTTTTGACACTACTCAATATGTACTGTACCTCTCTTTTCTGTGAATGCCCCCATTCCATTCTAGTTTAAATATATTTACATTTTCCTGGTCCTCAACAATGTGTTGTTTTGATACTGAAAAACTGCAGGCTTGAAGAGCATTTTTAATGTGTATGTTTGAATTGGGAGTCCACCCTTGGACTATCGACACTTCTCTGTGCTATTAGACTGCTAATCAATTTGTCTCTGCCTGTGTTGTCTGTGCATTTCTTAGCAAACCACATATTACAGTAGATCAAAATCTCTATGCAAATCCTACCCACCAGTACAAATTGTAAGCTAATTGTAATTGTAAGCTAACAACAGAATAGATTCCTCAATTTAAAATATGAAATTAGTAAAGATGGATTTCTTCATTTAAGTTCAAGTGTGCAGAACCAAACACCAACATTACCTATCTGTACGAGACTGGGAAACACTGCCTTAAGAACAGTACAATACCTGCTTCCCCAGGAATCAGGCTAGCTGATTAGTCATCAACACTCATGAAGGGGAGCTAAGTACTGAACAACAACTGCACTGAAAAAAGTCAATTTAAACTCACCCAGAATGCTTTATGTGAATCAGACTGGTGGATCAGCTCAACTCATGTTTTAAAAAGTCAGTGTGATGCAAATTTAGGGAGCTTTATTAGACCTAATTAACTAAGTCACTTATATGGGTCTCCTCTGCGGATTCTTATTTGGACATTGTTACTAAAGGAGGCACAGCGGCTGCTGCTGCCTTACTTTGAGGTCTGAATTCAATTCTGAGTTGGGGTAACCTTCTGTGTGGAGGTGGTATTTCCTCCACTGGTCTGGTGGTTCATCTCTAGGTACTCCCATTTGCTCTCACCTCCCATACATGCAGGTTAGGATGTCTGACCTGAACTTGTCTCACCAGGGTTTTAAATGTCCTGTATTGTACCCCGGTCACACATGGCACAAGCAAACAATGGTGTTGAACTCTGCTTCTTCTTGGTTGTCTTGAAAATGAAAAATCCCAATGTAATGTGCTGTCTTTTCCTTTGAGTACATTTGCTTTATTTATTGAGAAACCTCACGCAGAAGGCTGGGTACTACTAGGAACTGAAATCAAGAAGTAATGTACTGCCCAGCTCCTACTGATTGATTATTTACATGTAATATTGTTCAGTAACTTCAAATAAGCAATATCTTGTTAAGCAATGCTGATCCCAAGATAGCTTTGATTAATGACAATGAGTTTCACATAGCTATACTGTATGTGCACTCCAGATTATTAAAAATCTAGTTTTGCTGTACGTTTTGTTTTCCCCAATCTGGAAAATTGTTTCATTATTATTATTCCCACTGTGACTAATTCATTATCAGAAGATTTCGTTTAACTGTTATTCCAGAGAGATGATCCAGTATATGTTTATAAAAATGTATTGTTTGAAAATTGGATAAAATAAAACATACGTGCATTGGAAGAAAAGATGAGAAACAGACCATTTTAATTTATTCTTGTTCTAAACACCATTAAAGAACTAATCTAAATAAGGAAGGAAATAGTTTTGAATGCAATCATCTCAGAACAATGATTAATCAAGATACAATTTAACCAGTGCGATTAAGGAAGGCATTACATCTATTTGTATTTATTCAATCATATTGCATCTTAATGAAGACATTTCTGAAAAGCAGAGCAACAAAAAATCACCATCTCACCTCTTCTCCCTACAATCGGGTATGGGGCCACACTGTAAAGGCTTCATCTCCTTATAGAAAGAACTGGATTTCAACAGCAGATAATAAAACAGCTATTATAAAATCTCAAAGTCCTTGGCTGTTGTGGCTTTGTCAAAATGACAATTGAAGCAGGTGTATGCAATTCTCAGTGTTTGGGGATGCTTTGTTTTACAATTTAAGTCCACCGGTTTTGGAATTATACTCTGAAAGTGAGTTAAGCAATATGGAGCCTGCTATCAATATAAATGTAAATGAGTGCTACAGTGCAGAAAGGCCACTGGGAGGTTTTATCATGATACTATTATGTTCAGTACAAAAAGGTACAAATCAGGTATTCAGCTGCAGATGGAGCTTAGCTTTGAAGATCTAACACAATTTATCTAAAGTGAAGCCACATGAAAAGGAAAGGGATTCTTTAGCTTGAAGATCTTAAGGCTAAATAGTTCCCACTTTAATTTCCTGTGCTTGACAAGAGGACACAAATAAAGAATAAAAGTAAACAAAGAAAAAAAATATTGTGTGTATGAATAAGAATCAACTAATCAATCCTCTATGTTTATTTAAACATAAAAAAATGTATAAAATGTAGTTGTGTATATACACCCCAAGCCAAAATGATTAAAAGACAATTTAAAAAGAGGCGTCCTCTGCATAAATAGCATCTTAATTGACAGTGATCTAACACACAGCGATTTCCACTTGTTATTTATTGATAGAAGTGGAAACATAACAGGTACCACAATAATGGCATCATTGTTCAGTTCTCATCATTTTAGCTACATTTAAATTTTCCAGAAAACAATATCCATATTCTTATATCCATTTCCAAAGAGGACTACACACATTTCCAAACAGTCCACAAAATATATTCCCTGAGGAAGCTTCTTATTCTGTAGATGCAATATCCATAGTGTTAATGGTTTTTTTTTACAATATTTTACAAACACTTTGGAACACTGTTTTGTTGAAGCACCCTTGGATCATTTAAATTCAGCGGGAAGAGTCATTTATATGGAATTGATGGCGTGCGGTGATTTAGAAGAATAAATCAACAGATAAATAAATAAAGACAAGGTTTTGCCCTTTTGTTTTCCACAGAGTTCACCTGCTGAATAACATTGTGACTGGGTTAATCCTGGTGATCACAGCTGTCAATGTCTTCATCACAGCTTTCTGGTTCTCTCCTCATCTGACTCCTGCCGACCAGAATCTCACAGCCACATCATCTACTGCAGAGCCTTAATGGAATTATATTTAGATGCTGCACACTGCAAAGGATAGATTCCTACAGCCATTACTTTATTCAGTACTTGTTACAGGCAAGTTGGTAATCATTTCAATTTGAAGAAGTAAATAAAGATTACTTTCAGATAACCTGCATCCTCCCTTTTTTCATGCCCATCTGCTAAATCCCTGTATTGGAAATGGACGAATAATACTATATATGTGGATTTATAAAATCACACAGTCATCTGGTAGGAAACAATAGCAGGTGTGGGAGTTTAAAAACAAGTACGATGTATTTCTGAATGACTGTCCAAGTTACAATTAGCCATAACATGTACAGTAGCAGTGATGCAGGACTTCCTTGATCATATGCAAAAGTCAGAATGGATGCTTATTGTTTAAGGGACACTTAATTTCCAGTTAGTAATTTTGTCTTGAGAAAGACTTTAGTTCATGGTCAGGATCCAGGTTTAATTTTTTAAGCTAAATGATCTTTTTTTTTGCCTTTTTTACCTTTTTTGGCCTTTATTGCTTTTGGAATGCAACCAGGATTGAGCTATTTTTCATGCCATGTTAAGAACAAAGGGTCGTAATCAAAGCACATTTAAAGAAAGGAACTGCCACAATGTGTTTAAGAAGGAAAGACTTAGAATAAATAAAGATATTTTACATCTATGTAGCACAAAACCAAGACAATTTCATTCAAATAGTCCCAAACAGACTTCAATTCTAATTTTGTGAAAGAACCATTAACAAGATATGAGTCTTATGTTGCAAATAAATTATATGGATGTTCGTTCAAACAAACCCTAAAGCTCCTGCAATACAATGGAACACTTCTTTGTTTTTAAACAAGATGCAAAATTAGCTCAATATATTTTCTCGATAAAACAACAACTATCAAGCCAGCTGGGCCAAATGGCCTTTTCTTATATTTCTAAGTATTCAATAGCTGCATGAATTCTCAAATAATTGACAATGTGCTGGCTAAAAATTGTCTAAACTAAACCTCCTTCAGAAATGTTTTGTAATATAAAGATTCCCTTACAACAAACTTGATCTTGATGTTTTGAGCACCTTACCATAAAAAGCAGATTAATATTGGTTTCATAGCCTCCAAAATCTAATATTCTAAATGCTTCAGGTCAAAGCAAAAAACCCTTACCAAGAACCCAGCATGACTCAATCACCTGTAGGTCTTTAATTGTAATACCCATCTATCCTGTGGCTTTATTAGAAAAACAACGAAGAAGCAGACATTAGGTATTCATGGCACCTTTAGTCACCTAGTGAGAAGCACTCGGAAATGTTCAGTCGGACAGACTGATAACATAATATCAGTCATCAGGGATTCATTTATACCGCCCTGAATAAAATTCATAAAGATAACAAAAATACTTAAGCGTAAGCTAATAATTTATTTTTTTCTGGAACTTTCCTGTTAGCCTTAACGCTAATATATTTGCGTCTGCCTTCTTCCTTTGCTATCATGGAGAGCTTGCTTCTGTGCATATTTCAAAAGAGTAATTGCTGATGATTAGGAGCTACGCAGCAAATTTACACAGCAGGGATCTTTTGAGGAGCCTTTGCTTTTTGGAATGTGTCGTAATTTGTTGTTTGCGATGTCTGGAGAGAGAGAGAGATAGAGGGTGGAAATGCTGTTATCAAGTGTGGAAATGCTTCATTAACAGTGTATTTCAATTTCTATTATTGTATTAAAATTTACAGACCTATGTGCTTTCTTATATTGTTATGTGTACAGCATTTTAATCAAATTAAAAGCATTTAATTAAAATTATTTATCAATTATTTATCTCTGATGAATTTATTTTTACAAAAAATTCATATTTTAACAGTGGGAGTGGTTAGGTTGTAAGGTCAATGTACCATTTTCTATTTTCTTAGAAAAAGGCCATGTCTTATAATGAGGCCTTATTATAGTAATGAGTTCATTTCCTTTCTGATTTAAGGACTCTCAGTAAATTCTGATAAGTAAATTGCATTCTATCTATAATAAATTGGAAGAAAATTATACCAAGACCAGTCAAATGAAACTATAGTATATTAATTGCAATTTTTAACAAATTTATCATCCATGTGGTGTTATCTCAATATCGTAGTTCCTGTTTTCTAAGGTCTTTGCCCTTAACTGTATCATTAAAAGTAGTAATGGCATTCTGCTTACTCTGGTTGTGTTTTCTGTCTTTCTTAGACTATTGACTAAGATAGAATTGACTATGTCATCAATACAGTGTCCTTTTCCAAGCTTCTAAAAGACTCACATTAAGTTTTATTAACTGGATTTTTTTCTCATTTAATTCTTGGTCATATTATTTGTGGTCTGTGATTTTATGTTTATTGTTTCTAGTTAGATGTGTAAATGTCATTTAAAAAGGATTTCTCATAGATCATTTGGAATAGGGTGTTTTATCTTTTGCTAGATTCATATTCAGAAAAACAATCAGGCATTTCTTTGACATTTCTTTGATAAGTACATACATGAAATAATCTAAAGATTTAAGCAAACAAGGAAAATCTTTGTAGGTCCCCAGGAAAAGGAATATGTGTAACTTTACAGAAACCTCATAGACGTACCTCCACTCTGCTCATACAGTATAAAAACAATTGTGGAATGTTTGATGCTTCAAAATGATTATCTTTCTAGTCCCGAACACATCTCATGCCACATCATATAAAGACACATACACAGTCAGTTAAATTGATTTTTTTTACCCTAAATCTAACAGACTCCAATAAAACTTGAAAAGATACTACCTTGGAATTGTATTGTCCAATATGAAGTAAATAAATTGAATTTGGAAAGGTCAGTGATGGAAAAATCTCACACATTGCACCAAGCAAGATGTTCAAGCTAATTCAGCTGAGCAATACAAGGTTAAAATGTATTACTGAGAAGGAGACATGAATTACTTTCACATAAAAATTAGAAAACTGGGGTAGCTCTTGAACGTTTTGCCATAATGGCATAATTTTAATCAAAAAATATATTTTCTTTTATTCAAGACCAATTTTAACAGAACCGATTACATTTCTCTTGATTTATGCAAAAGGACCAAATGTGTCATCATTCTGTTTTGCTGGTTATTGTGGAATGTCAGCTTCTCAAGGTTGTTTAAATTTGTGACATCATCGTATATTTTCAAGAATTTGTAGAATCTCTTGGTTTTTCTCTTCTCTTTTGGTTTTCCTTCTACAGTCAACAATTCTTTACATATTATTGTATATAATGTATGCAATATTATGCAATAATCATTTATTTAGTTATGACTAAATATATAGTTACTGCATGTTCATTTTTTTCAGCTTCCATGTGTAGCATATTTCTTAGCTTTAAAACATTCAAGGTACACATTAAATATGCTTTAGATCGTATTTTAACATTATGCTTACTGTCACCACATAATCTATTTATACTAATGCAGAAGACATTAATAAATAATCGCAATCTTATCAAATTGAAAAAATGTGGAATTACAGACCTATGAAGATTTTTCTTGACAGAACTGGTAGATGAGGATTCTAGACTGTGTTCTGGTATTTGTCTTATTTAATTTATTTTAAACTAAATGAAAAAATATAGTTCCCATCCATGGTTTTGATAAGCTGTTGCAGTTTGATAAATCAATACTGTCCCTATGTGCTACCATAATAGTGCTGAGTTTTGTTGCTCTAGGCCACAGACATTTTAAGGTTGAATACTTAAATAATTCAGTAGGTATGCAACGCAAATAACCAAATGATGCTTTTCTGCTTATAGTAAGAAACTACAATAAGTGAATACTGAGAAAGAGAATGTCATGGGATCATCTTGTATTTTTATATAAATCCTAGTAGTAGAAATAATTCTATAATTAGCAATTCTGTCTCTTAGCATTACCTCTTACATAATCAAATGTTGGCTTATTAGGCATCCTAGTTAATGGTTACAAAATAGTGACAATGTTAACAAAGTATAAAAACATATGGAATCTAGTCATCTTCATGTATTATTAAATGGAACAGGTGTGAATATGAATCATCGTGAGTACAGTTATATCCAAAACAAAAACTGTAATTGATTAAAATACAAGATGCAATCACTGCAACCAAAATTTCTTTTTTGAATTTAAGATGTTGAAAGAAAATATTTTACATGTACAGTATAAATCTTTTTATCCACCTTCTGCTTTAACAGAACTGTAAATAATGTAAATACTACTAACGCTAGTACTACTACAGCTTTTGCTACTACTGTTGCTACAGCTAATATATCCTAATGCCACTGCTGTATTTTAAAAATAAGCAAAAACAAATCAGTAAGGCATACTGAGCGTACACATATTAACAGTGCAATGTGTGAACAGAACACAGTAAAAATAATGTCCATTGAGGTAAAACACATATACTGTAAGTAAGCAAGCACTGATTACAGTAAAGAGTGATGGTCATTGAGCAGAGTGCAGTTATCAGCCGGTGGTAAAGTTTACAATCATTTGAGAGAATCACAGCTGCTGTCAAAACAGATGAATCTTGAGGCATCAAAAGATGGTTAGGGACTGGGCAGTTCTGATTTTAATGGGGAGTTTATTCCACCACTAGGGAACTAGCGTCAAGGATGAGTGGGCTCTTGAAGAAGGGGAATGAAGAGGAGGGACAGAGAGTCTGGCAGAAGAGGAGGAGTAGAGCGGACATGAGAGAGCCTAGGGAGAAAATAGGTACTGGAGTAAAAGTCAGTCAGAGAGGATAAGACAGTGGTAGGGAAGAACAAGTGTTCTGTATTGAATGCTCTGAAATGGATACATGGAAGGACAAGTGACCTGAAATGTATTGGCAACTGAGAGAAGCGCAGCTATAGCAGAGTCAAAAAGGTCAAGGATAATACTGATGTTCTTGGCAGAGCAGGAGGGAGACAGAGTAGTGGAGAGGTTCACAGAAGGTGAAGAGGAGGAAAGGAAAAAAGGAATGTCAGACATACAGACACAGTGAGGTTCAGTGCGAGATGATGGGTGTCCATACAGGATGAGAGGATGGGATTAACACAGGAGGAGACAAGGGTATCAGAGGGAAGCAAAGCGAAGAAGATCTGAGCATCAACTGCAGAGATTTCATATGAAAAGTCATATGAA